ATAATATTTTGTTTTTATGTTTGCTTGATCACATTAATTACACTATATGTAACATTTAATCATTATAAATAAATAAATAAATAAATAAATAATAATATATTAATAAACATAAAAATCAATTATATTCGACACGACGCAAATCATCGGCGGCATTAATTTAATTATTCTCGGCATAAGGTATCGTATTCATAATATAAATCTATAACAGTTTCAAATGATATCGCACAATATTGTGCTCTCGTGTGAATTGATGATGTCTGCATTCCTCCTATCTATCCACCCACCTAAATATATAATAGCGATTTACAATGTACAATATACATGTAGCAATCACTGTGCAATATTGCGGATTACTATTTGGTGGCTAAACTTAATTTAATGTAAACTTGAATATTCACCACTGAAAGCTAATCGGGTGATTAGATAAATAGTCCATTTTCGGTTGTCGACTCAGAGTGAATTGAAATGAAGGAATAGGTGTGATGCGATGGATTCCCATCATAGGACCAAAGTATCACCAATATAGTGATTGAAGCCGAAAAGTGATTGGTTTTTATTTAAATGACAAAGACATTTTTAAAATTGTGTTGGAGTGATATTGCTTTTATTTTATCGACCATATTATACTGGGTAAACGTATATAGGTACCTCAGTTTTTTAATGTATCTGAGTAAAAATATTCAGATACTTTTTAAACAGGTAGTCTACAAAATAAATACATAATATTTTAAAACCTTTCGAAACGAGTATACACGAAAGCAGTATTTTAAATACTTTTTCAAAATAGGCACCTATCTGTAACTAAGTTGCATTGTCGTATACTTTTTTAAAGTAATTTTTTTTGTCACATAAAAAATAAAATAAATGATGAACAGATGTACTTATAAGTCATAAAATAAAATGTTTGTAAAATAATACCAAATATCTAGAAACATAATTTTTTTTTAAACATTCTCAAATTTATCGATTGGTAATTTTCAAGGGCACAAACCATACATTTAATTCGGAATATCAAGTATAATAGTGGTATAAGTATAGCATAGACAATAGTAGTATAACTAAATATGTACTGTTGCCTATCGATTTTATAATAAAACTGGAAATTAATACAGCTATCTTGGAGGTAAAGATGTCTAAGGCTCTTTCTCACTGCAATCGAAATATATAAATGTTTATATATATATTTTTTTTGCCTGTGACTTATACTCATGCAACTGAACTTTCAAATAAGGAATGTAAATGGGAACCTTACAGTTTCATACAACAATGCAGTCTAAATTCATTATAAATTAATGTATAACAAGAAAATAGCAAAAAAAGCTCCGTTTATAGTTTATTTAAAGTTAGTTAACATTTTGCAATTAAAACAAATTTAAGTATTTGATACTTAATGGTTTCTATAAATAATTTTTTAAGTACTTATCTGTATTTGTAGACGATAACTTTCTTTTATATTTACCGAGTAATCAAATAATATGTATTTTAAATTCTTTTCAAAGTCATTATTTATATCTGTACTAGAACAATTTTAAAGAGTATCTTTTACCAGACAGCAGATAAACGCGGAATCTGTCGATAAACAGCCTGAAACAATGTATAGGTACCTTCCAATAATGAAAATATTGTCCATATCCATATCTTACCTACTCTAGATGAGTGATCTATTTTAGATTTAACTGAAGGTCAAGGAATTTAACCTATATTGTGGTGGCGCAAAAATAAATAAGACTAAAAGAACCGTCGTTGTATATCTGTTAACCGTAGTCACGCTCGCTATTAAGGGTGATTTATAGTTACGTAAGAATCGATACTTTTTCATTTATTTTTATTTACGTTTTTTTTCCAACTAATACTCGGACGTATTTATTTTGAACAAAAATCCTAGGTACTCTAAAAGACGTCAGTGATGATGTATTGAAGGATTTCGGATTCCTAATTTCGCACGAGTATAAATCTCTGAAAAATGTGTTCTGTTGTTTATCGTAACTGATCTTATCGTCGTTAAGTCCATTGTATAATGTCCGATAGAACTTGAACAAAAGATCGACGAAGAGTGTTAATTCGTTAATTTTGAGTGAATCAAAACACTCTCAGCTAAACCGTATTTAAATTTATCAACCGTTGCTGATCTGATTTTCGATTGTGTAGTTGTATACAATATGTCTATATATAGGTAGGTACATAGTTAGATTTTACTCAAGCCGTTAAGAATAACCTTCCAACTGGAATTCAAAATTAAGATGATTAAATGAATGTATCAAGACGCGAATTCGTCCGTACCACCGTATCGCGACGGCAAATCTTATTTAGAAGCAAACGAAACTTTGCAGAAACAAAAATATAGTAATAAAACTCTTTGTACATACCTACCATTAATACTTTACACAATATCACTATTACGCCATTGCTGCCCAAAACCATCGTCGCTCGGTTATAATCAGTATGCATGTCAGTTTGACCGAATAGTATTGTATAGTCCGTTTGTAGATTTTACTGTTCCGACTATTATGCAATAACGGTGCACGCGTGTGTTATTGGTAAATAAATATTTATTGTGATTTACGAACAAATTAATTTTTATTCCAACTTTCCAAAAACGAAAGCGATCCCAAGACGTTTGTTTTTAGTTTTCACAAAATTGAAATACATAAACCACAATCTTTTTGAAATAGGTTTGTGTGTTTTTATAGTTACGACTGGCGTATAACTGCAGTATAAGATATATTTTAAAACTTTTAACAGACAAACTCTATATATACTCTGTTCCAAAAGAGAACGGTCACTTTTCGAACATACAACTTACGGCTATGGCAGTGCAAAGGCCCAACATCCACCACCTTGCTAGCAGACGTTTCTCGAAGATGTTGACGATTGCCGGCTAGAAAAGGGGAGGGGAATTTTGGCCTTTGCACTGCCGCAGCCGTCAGTTGTTTACGCGAAAAGTGACCGTTCTCTTTTGGAACAGAGTATAGTCTCAACTCGAGTTACATAACACTCTAACTGTAAGGTAAACAGGATAAATAATGAATGGAAAAATAACTTAAACTCGTCAGTGCTCGGTGATAAATGATAAATGATGATATATAATATTATAGGTATCTGACAACGGTATGATTTTTTGTTGGCTCGGGGGAGTCGGTAATCGCGAATAATTATCGTTTCCCATTGGAATTGAATTAATTGCATGAAATTACGTGGTATACGAGCGAACCATTTAATTAAATATAGGTAATTAATAATTATTCCTTGTTTTCTCCTCCATTTCCTAATAAAAAAAAGAAAAAGAAAAAAGGCTATCGTTAGAAATTTGCAATATCATATTATACAAATGCATCCAGTGACATGTAGTCCAATTAATTAATACGATTTCTCAATGCTCGTAAGAACGCACAACAAAATATTTATATATAATATACGGGGTGATCCATTCAACGAAAGACAATATTCATTCTAAGAACACTAACGTTTTTGAAAATATTTCTTTTAAATAAGTTAGAGTCGTTATAAAACAAAATTTTTGGAATAAAAAATTTAAATTTTACTTACTAACTTTTATTGATATAATTTTTGAGTTTTTACTCTTTTGAATGGCTATAGTTACATTTTTTGTTTCATATTCAGATTAAAAATTATTATTCGGATTATTTCGATCTATAAAAATCAAATTTCAGACAAGTACTTTATTAGTTATAACTTATAACTTATAATTATTTATAAGTAGGTACCTAATGCAAGTTTAGATAAGCGGATTAGTGGACCAGTATTTCATGGGGTACCCGCATGTACCACTCCGTTCCTCTCATCACAACTTTAAATACTTACATCTCATAAACTACTCGTCCAAAATTTGATTTTTATGCATACAGAAGTACTTCAAAAATAAAAATATTCCACTTTGAAGTAAGAAATGAAAATTGCACGTTGTCATTGAAAAAACTGAAAAATCCAATACTAACCATAACAATAAAACATGGTAAAAATATATTGTTTTTAGACTAAAAATTATGTAAAAAAACATTTTTTAGAGTGCCTGCCGTTATATGGATCACCCAGTATATAACATATTTCCCAAACTTTGGGATCGTGCCTAATCCGATTTCGGTCGTCGTGGGTGATTAGTTTTCGCATACGTTCCAAAAGTGAAATCTCGCGAATCTATCACTGCGGGTGGCAAAAAGAGAGAAAGAATAAAAGCACAAACCAGAAAGTGGCGAAAACAATCGATTTCGTTCGAGCCAATCGTATATAATACATACAATGTATACATTCGCTCTTGTGGGTGTACGGGGGGTGTGAGGGGGACTTTTGGATGATGTAAAGGAGTAGGTACTACCACGGCTGAGTGCGAGGGCACGAGACCGGAATGAGTCAATTGATTTCCGAGTGAAATCACATAACAATATCAACTACAGTAATAATAATAATAATAATAATTATAATGTCGTCATCATAATAATAATAATATAATAATTATTGTACTCGCTATTATATATAGACAAATAGGTATAATATATAGAGGTAGATACATACGTGTGAATTATTTTTATTACAAACTTGCCGCTCGTAAACGGGTCTTTGGATAAAACGTGATCGGATTTATTGAGTTGGTGACGACAATTTACTGTGTGTCCCATAGCTCTGTGTGTGTGTGTGTTGGTCCGTTATAAATGTTTGGTACACCGACGTCACCAGCACACTTTCGATTTAACGTCCAAACACGTCGTTATACAAGTGCAATCATATGACATATTATTCGCCACATACATCGAACCCGTCGTCTCGTTTGCGTCTCGACATCAAATCATTATTATTGTTATAATATTATATTGATAGTAGTTTACTGTTTACGCCGCGAAACAGTTGCGATACAATCGTTATTATAATAATATAATATAATATTATATTATTTAGACGGAACATCAGCTGCTAGAACTCGTGCACCAGTCATCAAGTCTTAACGTCGGTTAGCATACCAGCTATAGTACCTACCCATACCCACTATGGATTCGACCAAGTTGAACATTGCTTTGGTGAGTAAAACCGTTATTTTAATAATAAAAATAATATTATGTGAGTGGGTATTTTTTTTTTTTACCACCATTCTCCTCCCCGAATTTTAAACGTTATAATTAGGGCTGGGATTTCGATGCACTTTGCATTGTTTTCCTAAGCTTACTGTGCAATGCTCGTCTTGTCACAAATTTGTTTTATGTACATTTGAATGAGAATAAGAAAGTTTATTTTGCATTTTTTGGCATTTTTTAGTTTTTAGGTCATTTTCTTAATTTTTTAGGGCATTTTAGAGTTTTTGGAGCATTTTTTGAGTTTTTGGAAACCAAGTATGAATTTGAAATTTTATTTTAAGATTTTTACACCAACATGGTTTTTAAATAAATATAACAGATTAACTTTTTTTTTAGATTTATACTAAAACTATGTATTGACAGCTTACACTTGTAATAGATTTTTGTAATGCATTTTTTTAAACTTTTATTGTAATATATACTAAAATTATTAAAAAAAAAATAGTTTAGATCATAAAAGCATTTTTTTAGGGTATTTTTCGGGGATTTTTAGGGCATAATTTAGAGTTTTTAAGTCATAAAAGCATTTTTTTTAGGACAATTTTTGGGATTTTTTAGGGCATTAAAATCCCAGCCCTAGTTATAATATTTGAGCGTGAAAATAACCAAAGATAATATAATACCACATTATTGTACCTAGGTACCTATATTCGCATTTGACCGATAATGTTCATTGTTCACGTCCTCCAGGGTCGTTTACACCGAAAACAACACTGCAGACTGTTACGTCGTATTACATAAATGTAACATTTATGTTTTCCGAGTGAAAAATAGTTTCAATTAAACTATACAATCAACGCACTCCTAATAATGAGTTGCCCATACTGCGCAGTAAACAATTTTTATTCGCGACGTTTTTAATTTAACGAACTCTTGTAAATCATGTACACGGTACCATTGTACAATTCCGTTGTCACTTCCGGTATTTTTTTCGTTCACGAAAATAACTCGCCATATTATTCGTGTACACAGCAAATCAAAAAAATAATAACATAATATTAACATTTATTCAAGTTCTTTCAACTATTTTCGTTTATACGAAAAAAAAAAAAACTATATATAGTTGTATAATCTTATTTAAGTTGACACAAACATTTTGTACAGAAGTTCACGGTCTTACGCCGAGAATTTGCGAAAAGCGTTTGATCGAATTACTCTTTAATGGCAATCCTTTATAATATGCAGCTGTATAATCAAAAATATGTACCTAAATGTATTAAAATATAAATAAGCACTTATTATGTATAATACGAGTAAATAATATATTATAATGTGTAGAAATTAATATAATCTTACAACTATAAACTATGATGTAAACAATTTTTATTTTGTTTTAAATACATTTTAACAACATCCCTAAAATGTACGATTATAATATTAGGTATATAAATGTAATAATTTTATCTAATTTTATTATTATGGAACATATAAAAATTAACATATTATTTTACATTATCTATGAAAATAATTTGAATTTTAAATCGAGAAAATCCATAAGTCACGCTACCTATTTAAAATTTTTTTTTTTTTTAAGCAAACCCAAATAGGTATTATTCATAACACATACCTAAGCTATACCTAAAATAATACTAAAACTACAAAAACGCGGCCATTTTTTACGTTGCGCATGTGATATTATGATTCCGTGACGATCGATTGTGGATAATGAAATTCCACCCACTCTTTGAAACACGCCGACGGCCTCTAATTTAGTAATGATAACAACAATTATTATAGCTAATAACAATAACGATTTGCGATAGCAAACACGACACAGTGTCACTCATCTTGTCATCTGCAGCAGCAAACGTTTACGCTTGGACATAAACTGTCAGTGGAAAACTTTTATCGCGAATTGAATACATTTCGCTTGGTCACAAAACCGGGATGAGTTTTGAAACTTTTTTTTTTATTTTCTGAGGGATTAGGGACGAAGTGAACTCAAATTGAATCAATAAGAGTTAAAATGTATACTCATAATATAATATAATGTTAAAAATGTTTGTTTCGTTTCGTCTCTATATACGCGCAGGTTTTGTTGCAACTGACGGTGATGTGCATGAGCCAAAAGTTCAGTCCGGTGTACCGGGGACCGATCACCGCGGACAGGCAGATCGCAGTCGGCCAGCAGCAGTACGCGAACGACGCGGCTATGCAATCGGCCACCGCGGGCGACGTTAACCAACAATATCCGGAACAGCAGTACAACTACCCGACACAGCAGTACTACTATCCGTCACAGCAAAAACAAATCTTGGAGAAGCAGCAACAGACCAGGTTGGAGCAACAACGGCTCCAACTCCAGCAGTTGCAGCAGCTCCAGTCGTCCTGGGGCTACTACCAACCGGCCGCGTCGCCGCAGCAGCAATACGGCAGCGACTACCTACAGCAATTGCAGCAGCTACAGCAGCAGCAGCAGCAACAGCAGCAACAACAATCGCAGCAGCAGTATTACCAAACCGTGGAGAAACCACTGTTCAGGCCTGCGACCATACCGGTAAGCGAAACGCCCGCCGAGGGCCCGCAGCAACAGAAGCCGAACAGCTTGTATCAGCAGCAAACCGGGGCTTTGGCCAACCAGCAATTGCCACAAAACCCGCTGGGAGTGTACTACTCTTCGGCCGCCGACGTGTCGAAATTTCAATTTTCCGGCAACGGTGTTAACTATTCGTATTGAATAATATTATGTGAATTTTGTTATGCTTTTTTTTTGTTTTGTTTTGTTTATTTTTTTGTCATTATTATTATTATTATTATTATTTCATTAATACTAATTTTATTGTTTGTTATATTATTTCCGTAATAAATTAATGTTTAAACCAAATCCGTCGGCCGAAGCATTTAAGCCGGGATGCTCTCCTGCACCGTGTAAATCGAATTGCGGGCCGCGAGACCCTCCGTCGACACGGTCCTGGTCGCTTGTTCCGCTGTGACTTTTGTCCTTTTGAAATAACTCCTGATCCGGTCCTTGGTACTACTGCGAAAACAATATACAATGTTTAATTAGTGTGGAGGAGGACGAGATGAGGGCAGATCGGGTCCGCGTGTATAGGACGAACGTTGATGTTAGTTCTAATGAGCAATGGGGGCCAAGGGGGTCGACTCGTTTATCAACTTGTTTTTAACCTTTTCACGTGACACTCTTAACTGATACTCTAGGAACCAACTCAGGTAGGTCGTTATGATTGTAAGAAAAAATTCTTCACACTCAAAATTGGAAGTATAAGAGATCTTAATAGTTAAAATGATGCACGCATAGAAATTTGGAGTTATTTTAACTACAATGATAGTCAATGTTGTACGCATTTGAACGTAGATTTTGAGCTAAGGCTGTCTTGCAGTTGAATTGACATCAACGTAGGGGTTCAATTTGTACGTAAAATATACGACAAATTGGAGTAATTATTAACCATTTTTGTGGTTAATTTAACATTAAGACGTGTTACAGTAGCCGGATAAAAGCTGAGTAAATTTATAATCCTTGAGCGTTGTTTTAGTTAAAATAATTGTCGTAATTACTATCATCCTAAGCTCGCTTAATAGCGAGTTAACTATTATTTGGTGTTGATTTAACCTCTGAATTCTGTGATTTTACTACATCCGACACATTGTAATAACATTATCAGTAGTTATCAGTGTCATCACTAACGTCAAATTAATTTATTACAGGAGTCACCTGATATATTATATTGGTGTTGTTTTGACAACAGCAAGTTTTAAACTTGCCATGGTAGTCAAAAATATTGATTTTATTCAATCCAGCTAAGAAACAACTGAAACAAGATTTTACCATTTGAACTGTACGACATTTTGAAATATGTCATTCGACTTTCTAATAATGTTATATAAGACTTAATAAATACGAAATTCAAGCACCGATCTTCACATATTATTATAGAAACACAAATTATTTTATTTTTATTTTTATAACAACACGGTCCTAGGCCCTAAAACATAAAACGATAGACATAGGGTAATATGAATAATTTTTATAAATATTTTAATTAGAATAATAATAGTAACATTTATAATAATAAAATACCCAGTTGGAGCTGGGTCTTCTTTGGACAGACGCATAATACGATAGAGGGGGGAGTTTAGAATATAAATAGAAATGGAAAATGTAATAACAAAGGGACAATTAAATATAGTATTACGAGGGGCAACTTTAAAATTGATTTGTGAAAGGAGTAGAGGACATTGAATTGAATTTGATAAAAGTTTAGAAAGAAATGATATATTCTCAGAGCGAATGTTAATGTTATGACACTGAGAAGTAGACTATGCAAATTTATCGAAATTTATCTAGGGTGGCTAAATTTGAAACAGACATGAAGACCAGTAGTTGTCCAGCAGATCATCGAACAGTGCACCACAGAAACTCCTTAGCTGTCTGTAGACCCATTAGTATTAATTTTTAATAAGACTTTCATATTTTTAATTTAATATAAAATATGAAAGTTCTCACGCGTGTGTAGAACGGTCCGTCATAAGCAATCTCTCACCAAATTTACAAGATACGGATACCGTGGGAATAAAATAACTGTTGAGGATCTGTAGCAACAGGTTTACTGGTAAACACAGAGTTGGATTAATATAGACTTTTAGATTTGTTAATAACGAAATTGATTTATTTCATTACCTATAGGTAATAATATGTCATGTATAACAAGATTTTATACTATAGAAGGTTCTTTCCACAGATTAGTTTGTTTGTTATTGTTATTATTATTTTTATTATAAATTTTTTCAGAATCATAAAGTTCGTTTAGATTTATTTTAAATTTTAATTGTGATTTATCAATCGAATATGTTGTGCCAATTTTACCGACCGGACCTTAAACCATAAATTCGAAACAAAGAAATAACACACGTGGATTGGAATTACGTATAAAGTTAGAGGTTTTGAATGCCCGACCCGCGAAACTTACCTGTCCGAATTCCATGCGACAAACAACAGCGGAGTGGTTACCGTCGGCACAAACGCCAGCCAAACGCATATCATGAACGTCAAATCAAAGTGTCTGCTGTTCTCGTAAGTTTCAGATACTTCAAGTTTCGCCAATCTGAAAAGATTTTTTAAGTTTCGTGATTTATTAATTCAGCAATAATACCATCGTACGAAATAATAATATAATATTACAATATTAATTTTTAAATAATTCTAAGTACTCATGCAACATCGTTCAAGAATAATTTTAAAAAAAATTGTTGGAATAGAAACATTTGTTTTGAAAGGTGAAAAGTTCTTGGCATAGGTACCTACATAATATTGTGAATCGGATAATACGATCAAATAATCGATATTATTATATTATAAGCGGATAATATTATTTGGAAAGGAAAAACCAACCTATCTAGATACGAGAATTAAGATGCAATTCGTGTGCACCGATAAACTCTCTGCGACGGACTTAAGTCTGTATATATATATATATAATATATATGTATGCAACGCATGGCCGTTGACCATTGTTCGTAGGGAAACTGTCGTCGATTTGTTGTACGGCCGACCACATAACTGTATCGCTTACTAAACGCCTCATATACTTTTTTATGGTGAATTTCTCTCTTCTCAAAACATTATTATTATTATTATTATTATTATTATTATCGGTGCTGTCATTTGAATATAAAATGATATATATATTACGACCGTATGAATGCTAGACGTTAATATCATACGAGTGTATAATAATATTATACCAAGGTTGTTTTATTTTTATGGTATTTCCGACGACCAAAAGTGCGTTGAACATTGTTCAATAAATTCAAATATAAATACCTATAACTTTATTAATACATTACGTGCATTACGAAAATTCTCCAATAATATATTTTGTGTTATCGCTGTTTTGTAGGTACCTACTCACATTTACTATTTACATCGTTTTAGATTGTGAGTAAAGAGCAATAAACGTATTGGTAGTACAATGATTTGCAGCTTTTTTGAATTTATATTGTTGTGTCTGTCATCACGTTTTTAAGTAGAAAATATGCAATCTTAAACACTTAAGGTGGCTTTTGGTAAAAAATAAAATTTTAATTGAATCTAGTTATTACTTGGCAATGCATGGGAGGATGAGGAAAAGTTAGCCATAAGTAAAAATTCCCAGAACTTTTGTTTGTATGCCTGGATAAAATTTGAAAAAAAAACAAAAGTAGGTAAACGGAAAATGTGAATGTTTACGCAACGCCAGTTTTATACAAAATTGATTTTATTGTATTAACTTGTAATTTATAAAGGAATAATCCACTATGGATTTAATATTTTCACAAAGATTCGCATTTGCATTTTCTATACATGATTAAATTTTCAAAATATTCAGGTTCTTATTGAACTATTTATTGAAGTTTGAAATTGTCTACTTTTAACATTTTTTTTTTTCAATTCATTGTATTAATATCATTTTTGTTTCCAGGTAAATACCAGATCCTCTCATAAATTGTTTCTATAGCAACTATTAAATATTAAAAATAAATATAGCCACATTTTTGTTTTTTAATCGCTTAAACTTCAAACTTAAACAAAATTGGATATTCAAACGTACAATATTGATTTGCCCCTCAAAGTTAGTTATTTTGCGTAAATCAAAAAGATATTAATCGCAGATACTTGAAACATTCCACTATTAATTATATTATCATATTGTAGGTAGGTATACACAATTTTAAATAAACTGTTAAAATATTTATTGTAACTATTAAAGCTATTTATTTTATATTATAAATACGAACAAACTCACGCCCTGTTCAAATTTCACACATACCTGACGTTACAAGGACCTTGGTACGATCAAAAGCTACTATACCTATAACAGAGAGTGAGTTCTCCTTTTTCTTTTTCTCATTAGTTACAATCAATTATTATAAAAAAAACTAATTGCGAGAGATTTCAATACTATACAAAACTATTTATTTTTCTTTCAAATTCGAATCAATTTGTTATATCGTGAACAATAACAAATTATACTTAATATTACGGAAAGATTGGAAACCATAAACCAACAAAAAATAAATGGTTGAATGGTCCTGAGTGAAAATTATTCTAGTAATAATGATCGAATTTTCATCGTATATGGTTCAACTGGTATTGATTGCGTCACGAATAAAAGTCTTCAATTTTAAAGCAACATTTTCGTTCTTTGTTTAATTACATTTTAACACTGGCTTGTTGTTTACTTTGCATTTAAATATTAAAACTTAAAAAGAAAATCAAATAACCGGGGCATAATATTAAAAATAAAAAATATTAATTTTTCTTTAAGTAGGAACAAATATTTTTTTTTGGTAAAACTAAAATAATAGCTACAATGTCAATAATTATTTTATGTTTAATAGTTTTATTTATTGGTTTATTTAAAAAAAAAATGTATATCGGAGACAGCATTGACTTTTTGAAGTATTTTCAAGAATTATTATCAAATAGAAGTAATCATTAAACATGGTTATTTTTTTTACCAGACAAAACAAATAAACTTAAAACTCATACATTACGTTAAAATAATATTGGTGTAGCATTTCTATTTTATGTTGATTTCCAAAAATAATAGTAATAAATATAAGACATTGATATTATTATTGTTCTTGAAAAAATAAATACACTTGAGTGTACCTACATACAATTATATTTATGTAAAATAAATATAAAAATCTTTACTATATAAAACAATTTTAACTTGAAATCTCTTACTGGTCAGGTGACACTGCTGGGAGCCTTCCTATTGTGTTATTTTATGTCTAATGTTCTTATGTCACCATACTTACTCATTATACCTTGTATATTATAGATAGTAAATATTCTTTTTAAAATAAGAATAAAATTAAAAAAAACTTAAAATCTGTATAAAAAAAGAGATTAGTGCGTATGTATTATTGAAATATTTAGGATTCTGTAAAAACAACTTATAAGTGAACTTGTATTGATTTTTTTAAGCTATTCAAAATATTATTTTTCAATATTTTAACTACAATTTTCAAGATTTTGATCAATTTTATAAAAAATTTGAATTTCACACATTTAAAAGAAATTGTGCCTATGCAATTGCAATATGAACAACTTATATAATGAGATCTGTTATTATATTTTAAAACTTTTTTACCTAACCTAAACTTTTTACCTACACTAATAACATTTTTTTTTAACTATAAAATTATTTAAATCTATAAAGAGCTCAAAATTAGTTTTCATATTTTTAAAATGTCATATACCTAATAGTAAATGATAATTTAAAAATAAAAAAATTTTGCTTAATATGCATTTTTAATATTTTCAACTGATATTAAAATATTTTGTGTGAGGAGCCTTATATTAAACTTTCATGCTTTTTGAAAAAACAAATAAAATTTTATTGACATTTATAAAAAAATTTTTAAATTTAAAATGTTTTTTTCTCATTATTTGCATTATTTCGACTATTTATCATGTAAAGAAGAACATTTTTTTTTTAATTTAAAAAAAAACACATCGTAAATCAATATATTTATCGCTCAGCTCAGAACCTAAAAACACATAATGAAATTAAAACATTCATATTTCTGTTCAGATTCTACTATTCTAGTAGGTATGGTTTAAGTAGTATGTTATAGGTTGCATTCTTATATCAATACTAGCATACAAAATATGTTGAATTAATTATATAACATTTAATAGTTTCTACACCTTTAATCGGTCAAAATATTGAAAAAGACATTAAACTAAACTTATTGATCGGTATATATCACAAATCAACCGAATGGAAAAAAAATAAAATATTTTGAAAATTATATCAAGTAAAGAAAATCCTAATATAAATTTTCAGTGAAAAGTTCAAGTATTTTCAATTAATCATCATTAAACTACAATAGGAAAAAACAAAATTAATTCTGTCAAAAACTGGGTTTCTGAAAAAAAAAGCTGACTATAAATTTTTTTACTGCTCCGAAAGTTGATAACAGGCGCACACACAGAACTACAACAACAAATTATAAAAAAAACACAAATCATTCTAAAATGAAAACATGTATCGTTCTGCTCAGAATCTAAAATTAATGATTTTATTACGCAGCTGACAAATTATTGGAAACGAGCGTGCGTGCAAAATTTAGTATCCGGATATTATATTAGAGGACATAACTTTTGAGATTAAAACTGGATGAATTATAACAAAATTTAAAATAGAAACATACGATTTCAACGCATGATTTTTAAAACCATATATTTGTTAAATAAGCTAGGTGATTATCCTTGATATTGTTGCCTATGGTTCCGACGTGACTGTAGCCGCTCTCAGAGTCTCAGGAGCTTTGCGCATTTGTTATCGATAGAATTATTGTAGTATAGGTATACAACTAAAAAACTATTATTATTATTTAGTTATTTAACCAGCAGAAAGCTATATACACATATTAAAGTTTTAAACGCCCGATACTATTGTTTCCAAACAATGCTCGTGGGGATACTTCTATGAATTATTTATTTCATGTGACCTCAGTATTTGAATGGAAAATAAGTGTTGGTAAAATAAAATTATACATTTGATGAGAAATAATAATATACCTACTATTTATACATATAAGGTTTTTACATTTATTATACATATACATTTGATGCCTACAAGACTAAAAGAGTGTAGATACATAATTATTTCAACATCCTATTAAATAGTCCAACAAAAATGTGTCTTATTTCAATTTATTTCCATGATGTATACTGATGTAAAAAAAAACCATAAGTTTCGCCACTTTTAATTACCTCAAAATCATCAGTGGACACAAACACACAGCATACGAGATGATCATTGATATTAAATATTTTTGCGTCTTCGACTCCTTGTATCCATCGATTTCCTCGTCATCAGAGTCGCTAACCTGAGATTGCACTTCGTTCAAACGTGATGGCATTCCACCGCTGCTGAAAAAAAGTGTATACATCAATACATGTTAAGTGAGCAGCATTTCTCGAATAGTCGAGTTCATGAACAAGCAAATACCGAGTTTGGAGTTAAGACGATAATATATACATTATTTGTACAATCAACCTTAAAATGAATAGAATGTATAGAATTATTAATCATTTTACATTTATTCGCCTATAAAAAGACACTATGCTCGTTTATATTTTTTCATCTTATTTTAAAATACATTTTAATATCAGCTAACTACATCGAACCATTGCTGGGTTATTCACATTTTTCTTACGTTATTAAAAATTCCAGAAAAAACTGGTATTGATATCTATTTTTTATCTGAAATTATATTAGAAGTATTTATTAAAAATGTTCAAATCATTATACAATTAGATTAAAATATTATCCAAAAATGATAATTTAATGAATATTTTGATAGAAAATAATATCGCCGACAATTTTATTCTACGGCCATCACATTTTTTTATGTAAACAATAATATTATTTAAGTCCTATATGCTTGGAATATTTAGAACATTAAAAATAGTAATACTTAAACCATCATCGGTTTAGTGCTACTTTAACAGTAAGTACATAAAATCCTTTAATAATCTCATTTATCCAGCGTTTACAGTGTTTACATATTTAAAAATTTATTTACCTGACAAATAATTATGTCTCGAAAACTTAATCGATTTACTTTCTTCCTCCAAAAAGGGAGCATATCTTTAGAAAAAAACTTTCAAACGTATAATGTTGAGGTATTATAATCTAATTATTAATTTACAAATTTCGGAAGATACGATTGAAACTATAAACAGACTATTCTTGATAATATAAGCACAATAATATTATTTAAATATATGGAAAACATAATTAATACATTATAGTGGTTGTTAGTTATGAAGTTATTATTACTAAATACTAAAACATTTATCCCAATATTTATACTTATCGGTAAAATTTGGCAATCTTAAAATTACTTAAAATAACCAAACCAATATGTTGAATAAACAAACAAAATTTGTAAATGTAAAGTTAATATAAATTAGTTTAATAGAAAGATGATTTTAAATTTTTAACTATGTATTAATACGAGTAATTTATTTCTAACCATCAAATTGTAGAATTATATAATGCAGCAGGATAATTGCAGGATACATATTTTATAAATAGTATTAATAATTTAAAAATATCATTAAAATTCACTACCAACTCATAAACCATCGTCAATCAATAATATAACTATTATATTTTAATTGCAATATTATCATTAATATTTAATTTGAAATGAAAGACGTATTTAAGGACATTTAAGTCAATAAAGTTATCACAAGACATCCATTGTAATTTTTTTTTTTTTTTTATTTGAAACTTAAATTTCGATTTATAAGTAAATTACTTAAAGATGTATATCTATGTTTTAGAATTTATTATAATATTATATATTGTTTATGTTTTCGTCACCACATATTATATACTACAATAAATGATACGCACTCATTTATCTATACTTACATCATGTAAGTCAGGGTGGTTGTTTTATGCATTAAATATTAATAATTTAAATTAAACCCAAACGTTCATCCTAACGTAACAAAAGACTATTTAATGATAATGACAGTCATTATAATGAAAAATGTAATTTTAGGAATATAAATAAAAACAAAAAAAGGTGCTCTGCTGCACATTAGGTTACAAGTGGGTCACTGTATAATAGATGGTATTAAATTTGAATTCAATGATATAATATCATTGTATAAGAAAAACGATTCTGAGCGAAAACGGTTAGTCAGCCTATGATATTCCGAAGTATATTTGATGATATACTAAGGTGAATAAAGTAATTTAAATATAACCTATTTACGTGGAATCTTGTTCTAAATTTTCAATTCTTAGATATAAAAGTCGAACGTTTTATAAATTTTTAACTACGAAACAATTATTCAATTTTAAATTTGATAAATATTGTCGAAATTCGATCTTTAAATGCCTATAAAAAAAATTGTGGCTATGTATTTTTAATATTTTTCAAATGATATTGTAACAATATATCAGGACTTGTATTAAATTATTACACTTTTTGGATCAACAGATAAAACTTTATTGATATTTATAGAAAAAAAACTAAAAAAATTGAAAACTGTAAATTTCCGTAAACAGCTAAAAAAGAATCAAAATATTTTCAAAATTGTATGGTGTATAAGAAATACTAATGTAAACATCCAGTGAAATTTTCATGTATCTACAGTCATTCGTTTTTGAATTACGACAAAATAAGGAAATCGCTATATGAGAAATCGAGTGAATATCCAGTGTTGTAAAAATTTGAATTTCAAACTCTCATAAAAATTTAATTTGACTTTCTTATAGACATTTTTTTTTGATAAAAGTACATAATCTTATAAGGAATCTTGTATTATATTTTAAAACCCTAGATTTAAAAAGAAAAATTTTTACGAATTCTTAACTCAAAATAATTTGGTAATTTTCGTCATTTTTCCATATTTTGTCAATTTTTGAACTTTAAATGCTTATAAAAAAAACTGTGATTAAGGATTTTTAATATTTTTCATCTACCTTAGAAACAATATACTAGGAGCCTTCTATTTAATTTTCAAGTATTTTTACTCAACAAATAAAATTTTATTGATATTCATAAAAAAAAAAAACTAATAAAATTGGAAACTGAAAATGCCCCTGAACAGTTCAAAATAAATCAAAATCAAAAAATCAATTTTGCGTAAGTTCCCGTTTTTCCTTAATTTTTCTTTTGTTTTTCTTGGTGCTTTTGAAAATTACTGGGAAGTTTAAATTTTGACCTCCCCAATGCACCAACGATATTCACTTTCCAATCGAACAAGATACTGAAGTTGCTAATCGAATCATTACTTCGACTACTTATCGAGTACACGGAGACAAATAAAATTAAAAAATTAAAAAATTAAATAAAAGAAATACAAAAAAAACACAAACCATTGTAAAATCAATACATTCATCGTTCCACTCTGAATCTAAAAATAGTATCAGAAATTGTCAGGTTTTTCACTTGAAATACTCGAGATACAGCATTACAACAGTGTTGTACCAAAAATGAAAATTTAACCTATGCTGTATCTATATTTTTATATTTCTAAAGTCCATATTTTCTAGTTATGTAAAATAATTTATGGCAAGGATTTGGTCGTATATAGTTCCCAATACGCGTTGCCGTATTTTAAGTTAACATATAATAATACATATTTCTAAGGCATACCTACAGAAGTTTCAATATACGAAAGTTTTCACTGATGTTACTTTCGTGTTTTGAAACCGATTATTAAAATACTAAACGCATAACTTTCCAGGAAATCGAAAATTTCCATCAGAATTAAATGGAAACAGTATTTTATAAAAAGTTGTCATATTAAGAAAAAAAAAATAACAACCACAAAGAAAACTGTAAAGATTTAAAAATAAAAAACTTTCAACCTTTAAGCATGAAATGCTTTTAAGTTTAAGTAAGTAAAACAACATTTTTCACAATAGATAATTGGAACGTTAACTCGTGAACACCATTAGTTAAAATTAAACCAGTATTCTTCTTATATTTATACATTTATATTCTACGTTACCAAATAATTATTCTCCATACATTTATACAAATATGTATACAAATTAAAAATCGTAATTTGCATACTTTTATCATAATTTCGATCTAAATCTTCATAAATAATGAGAAAATTTATGTTCGGATTACGTAATGCAGACAAATGTAGAGACTCGTTGTTTAAAATAAATTAAATAAATTAGATTACATAATACAGATATACCCACACAGTTATTAACATAAGCTCCATATTATAATATAATGTATGAATTCTATTTAGGAATATTATCAGCTATCTGTCGTATAATATCTATTCAATATTGTATATTTGAGAGTGCTCCAAAGGACAACGATTATTAACTATATAGGTAGGTAGGTATTAACAACTATTAAATGGATGTTCCGTTTCACATGTACTTCATTGTCAACTGTGAGTCGTGTACTGTCAGTATATTGGCAGTTTATATTGTTTGCAATCAACGTTATACATTTATAAGATTATTTTGTTGCACCCTGCAATACACTGTCATAATAATATGCATTATATTTACTAAAAGGAGAACAATTACATTTCTACAATTATATTTTCAAAAAAAGTTTGAACTTTTTGAAATAATGAGTCTAGACTCTTAAATAATGGATCACCTATATATAAACGTATATTTTATTTACTTAACGTTATTCGTCAAGACTCTTTAGGTGCACGTTGATAAATCATTATTTATGACGCTCGAAAGGCAACCACTCAAAAGAATGACGTCAAGGATTGAAACTTTGTCACCGAGTCACATAAGGCCAAACAATTTTCCGACGTCGTGCATTTAAGTATAATTTCCACTTAATGCTGCTGTAGAATAGTATAATGAAATAATTAATAAGTGACACCGATACATATAAAATTTAGAAACCTAGTGCCGACGAACTTCAAACGAAAGGGAAGAAAAGGTAATTCGTGGTTTTCAGAATAGTCTTCTAGGTTGTACATTAGTACCTATAACCTTACTACATATACCTAGTACCTTCTAATGAAACTGTTAATTTTTTTCTCATACATTTTAGAACGATGGTGTAAAATATGTCTTGAGTTTAAAGCTATTTAAAAATGACTTAATCATCGCCCATCAAAATTTTAAACGATAATCCGTAGATATTGTGCTCTGATAAATGAAGACAACTACACATATACCTACTATTCTGTACCCGGCAAATGCGTTCCAAAGTTCCATACTTTGATATGTATGAATCAATTCATTCAAAATTAATAAATTATATTTTTAACAGTTTATTTTGTTGACTGTTTAAAGTTAAAATAACAATTAGTATAATTGAATGAATAATGAAAATAATGTCAAGAAAAAAATGGTTGAAAAATTTACATAACAATATTCAAAACTACACATTGCACG